GACGTTGTAAAAGCTGAACTTCCTCTCGCCAAGGAGCCTCGCGGGGCGTTTCCAGCCCTGGCTGGGCTTATTCCACCTGCGAGTTTAGGCTCCCGGGGTGGGTACCCGTGAGCCTTCGGGCTAGCTCGACGCTGTAGGGGCCACCAGCCCAGCTTGGCCCGTTGCAGGTGTGGGAAGGGCGCTGGCGCGTGATCCCTTACGACGTGCTGCCCGACTGGCTGAAGGACAACGATTACCTCCTGCACGGCCACCGGCCGCCCATGCCGTCCTTCCGCGCCTGCTTCAAGAGCATCTTCCGGATACACACCGAGACGGGCAACATCTGGACGCACTTGCTAGGTGACCGGGGTGGGGTTTGGTAGCCCTGGGGCTGACGGTGGCCTTGGTCCCCTGTGCCTGGGGTGGCTTTTTACAGGCGGGAGGGGTGTCCCTTTGAGGGTGGCGTCCCCCTGCCCGGTCCTGCGCGCGGCCGAGGGAGCTCCCTGGGTGCTTCACCCCTGGGCTGGGCTCAGCAGCGGTTTGTGGCTTTGCCGCCGCTCCCCCAGAGCGGGATGGAGAGATGTGTCCTGGGCAAACTGGGATAACTTCGGAGCGCTTTCCTCCCAAAACCAGGGGTGGTCATGGCTCTTCACCGTGCCCTTGCCCCCGGCTCCGCTTCTCGGCAGTAACAACAGCCGCGGCGAACGGCCGGTGCCGGGCCAGCCCCGGTGCCACTGAGCCACCTCCGGGGGTGCTGGCAGCAGGATCCAGCCAGGCCCTGCCTTCAGAGCCCAGCCAGGGCTGAGTTTCTCCTGGTTCTTGGTGGAATCCATTCGCTCTCCTTCTCCCTGACGGCCCGTTTGGTGTGTTCCCTGCAGGTTTCGTGTTGTTCCTCTGCTTGGGGATCCTGACCATGCTGCGGCCCAACATGTATTTCATGGCTCCTCTCCAGGAGAAGGTGGTGTTCGGGATGTTCTTCCTGGGAGCGGTGCTGTGCCTCAGCTTCTCCTGGCTTTTCCACACTGTCTACTGTCACTCGGAGAAGGTCTCGCGAACTTTTTCGAAGTGAGTCGGCACAAGCGCGGTCGCGTGTTCTGGGAGGAGAGAGTTTGGAGTTCTCTGGGAAAGCGCCGCTTCGGGGGCAGGGGGTGTTCACCAAATGCAGCGTGGAGCTGAGAGGGACCCACAGCTGGGTCCCGGGGGGCTCTGCCCTCTGCCTGAGCTCCTTAAACCCTCAGCTGGGTGATACAGACGGACCCTGGGAACGTGCAGCCTTGGTGCCCCTCGTAGCAGCGAATTGAGGAGGGGGTCTCAGTCTCGCTGGGCAGCTGCAGGGCACAGCGGTTTGGCAGTTTCCACTTTACTGGATGCTTTCAAAAACTCTGGTTTGGATCCCATTTGGCCCAAAACCAAATGGAAGAAACCAAACCAAAGAGGATTCCCGGCAAAGCGGAAAGGCTGGGCAGCGGCCAGTGCCTCTCCCCGAGGGCGGAGCGGGGCTGCTCTGAGAGTCAAGCTCACATCAGCCGTCGTGGCAGCGAGGCTTTCAAATAAGATCTTGCTCGCACAAGTCCATCAAAGGCATTTACTGGGGTGCTGCTTGCTGGGAAATCCTGCCCATCTCTGCGCAAACCCCCAAGATCCCGCGGGATCGCCTCTGCAGAACCAGCCGTGCCGCCGTGCCCGCAGCAGGAACATCCTTGCGGAGTGGGGAGGGCCCTTGCCACGGCCGCCGGGGCGGTGAGGGGAACGCAGGCGGCTGCATTTTGGTGCTGAAGTGGTTCCGGGATCGATAGATCGAAAGCACTTTGCAGCGGAGGATAATAGCCGAGGGCTCGTGGTGGTTTGGGTGCACGGCCCCTCGGCTCCAGCCGGCTCCCGCTCCCCCTCTGCACTCCGGTGGCATCCCCAGATGCCACCTACGTCCCCAGGCCCTTCCTCCCGACCCTCTCGCGGTGAGGAGACCCGAGCGCTCCCCACGCAGCTCCGCCCGCGGGGCCGTGGCTGCCCCTGTGGCCGCGGTGGCTCCGTTCGGGTGGAGGGTGGTGACACACCGGTACCGCGAGGAAGGGGGTGGATTTTGGGGCTCACCTGTGACCCTGTCATTGCACCCCGGCTGCAGGTTGGATTATTCAGGAATTGCACTGCTGATCATGGGGAGCTTTGTCCCGTGGCTCTACTACTCGTTCTACTGCTCCCCGCAGCCAAGACTCATCTACCTCTCCATCGTCTGTGTCTTGGGCATCTCTGCCATCATCGTGGCGCAGTGGGACCGGTTTGCCACCCCCAAGCACAGGCAGACGAGAGCAGGTAGGAGTTGTCCTGAGTCCCCAGCCCCTGGAGGAAAGATCCCTTTGGGAAGCGCTCTCAGCATCTGCAGGATTCATTCCCCGCCCCGGCGCTGCGCCGCAGCAGCCCCTGGCAGGGAAAGGTCTCCCTCCTCCTCTCGCCGTGCAGGGGGGGCT